CTCTTAATTGGCATAACATTTTATATAAATAACCTGCACATATTAGGAATGAACTCAAATCCGAAACGTTTCAATTTGTAACAAAATTTTTATATTCTTACTCTTGATTTGTGATTATTTCTTTTCCTGAAAAGATTGAATGAATAAATTAATTTGAATTGGAATGAATCCAACGAAAATATCGCTTTTACACACAAGAACTGCAGGATTCTTCTTGAAGCGTGTTAAACTAAACAAGTTGGTGTCATCAGAAGATGCGCTGTACTGGGAAACTCTTAAATAAACAAGCAATTTTGACCAACAACATACAATAAAAACGATTCACTTCAAAGTTCATGTACAGCGAACAGCAGTTATTTAGCAAATAAATGAAGGGTGTCTTACTATTTAGAAATTAGAAAAGGTTCACCTATCAAAGTTAATAATTTTTTTTCAAATTTTCAGACATTCAGCGTTATTAATGTAAATTTCAACAGGTAGTATACTTCTGATATGTGGAAGCAGTACTATTTTGGGATTACTTGAATATGTAACTTAGGAATCAACATGTCGAAGTGAATTTGTTGTATGGCCTACAAGATTACCTGATATGACAGTACTTGTTTTTTCTCTGGGGTACAATGAAATCAGTCATTCTTAATCATACACGGGAAAGCTTTTGTAGCTTGTATTGAAAGATATGTAGCAGAATATCCTGACATGAGAATACTCCATTCGATATCCACCTTTACTTAACATTAATACTAGTTTCCCTAATCAATTTGTTTTTTCCACGACAGTTATCTAGACTACAAATTAAATTACTTCAACTCACACAAGTTTTACTACAGGACATATATTTGTGTCTGTTTCTATAATACAATAATTTGTTGGTTTGTTTGAATCAAAGTGTATCCTTAAATTTCATAATTCAGTGCACCCAGAGACCTAATACATGTCAATATTCTGCAGTCTAACTTTCAGGATGATATGGATGAAGAAAGGTAAATAAAAAAGTCATTATGACTAATGTTTCTAATATTATAGAAACAGCATTATTTATTATATATTACATCACTCGATTCTTTCAGAATCATACACATAAAAAATTGTTTCCTAACAAACATTTAGAGCACAGTGATTTATCTACATGTTTCAATTTATTTAAAAAAAGCACTTATCTACAGGCGTTTTCGACATACTTTGTTACAAGCCTACATTGTCACAAATGGGAAGAAAATCCACAACCCCGATATGAACCAAGGCATGAAATAGCTCTGGAACTCTGCTAGTGCTGTGGTTCATATTCAAAAATAAGGATACAAAACAATAAATAAACACAAACAATCATACGTTAATTAAAACTTACAATTAAAAGTATAAATAAAAGTCAGCTATGTAAAAAAGATGATTAGTCATCAGTCTTAAATAAATTACCTATTAAGATAAGTATGTACAAAAATAAATTAGAATAAAATGAAAGGGAACATGACAAAAACAGCATTTTACAAAATTTCAAGTATTTTTACACGTCCATAAGCTTTTCAATATTTACAATAACTTTCAAGCAACTTCGATACTTTCTACATGAACAAAAAAGACGAATGTATCATGACAAAATTCAATGAACAACCACTGCATCGTCACCGACTGGATTCTCAATTTGAACCGGCAAATCACACTAATTAAAGCTTAATCAGTTAGTCGATTTCTGAATTATATACACTTGTGCAATTGATCAAAAATATATATATGTATGGGAAACATTTACATTTAACTACAATAATTTGTACACATCCATCTAGTTAACAAATTTTAAATATGCAGTGGGTGCCAAAGTCCAATGACTATATTTATATAATTGGATAATCACAGGTCATATTCTCGAAGTTCCTATTCCTATCACAAAAAAACTGAAACATGTTTACGTTATGTAGTTACTGAAACAAAATTTTTCAATTCCCTCAAGACACTATTTACGTATTTTTAAGGTGGGTGTGGTAAAAACAACAATAGTAGTAACAATTAAACTCAATAGCAGTGTGCAGCTGAAAAATTATTACTTTCAACCAGCAAGTTGATTAAATTTAACTGATCCATGTACTCGCTTCTAGTCTAAGAGCCTGTGAATGCCAGACCCCTCCTTTTTATAAAAGCTCAAAGAGTATCTTACCCCATTAAAAAAGGTCAGAATGATGGGCTAATATTGGCTGATGGGCTGATATTAGCCCTTGTTCCTACTTGTGTCGGCAGAATGAGCCGAGACTTTCAACTTGCAAATAAAGAAGGTATGGCATTCACGTGCTCTAGCTCTAATCATTTTTCTTTCTGATCAATATGTTCTAATTGAGAAAACATTTAGTTTCATGAATATACGAGGATTTCGTTGGACCAATAGAAAGTATTGTGTTTACCTGCAAACAAATTTTTTGATAATGGCCAGTTCTATTTTAGATTGCAATTTAATATATCTTCAAGTATTTTTCAAAAGTAGAGGTTATACACAAACAAGTGCTCAAGATCAAATTAAACAAACATTACTTAGAAAAAAACACATAACTCAATTATCGGCAAAGTAACATTAGGATAAAAGTCTGCGAGCTGATAACACATTCCTTTAGTTTTCTTCACCGTTATCTTGAAAGACAATCGAACTCCTCCAAAAAGACTTCAATTAAATTAAAAAAAAATCTGATGAAGTGTCTCACAAGTGTTACACTTAGGGTAATCATACCTCAATCACAATTAGACATATCTGTCTGTCATTCTAAGTATAAGAGTTTAGTATGTGAAAGACTAGGTTTACGGCATCTTAAAGGAGCATTTCTAACAACTGATATTAATAAAACCAATATTGACACTTTTGATGAAACTTGCTTTAAAGGGGATACCTTGAGTAAATGTTTTCTTGGTCAATAGAAAGCAAAAAAGCCCAATTCATTACCTGACGGTAGAAAAAATACTATAAATCAAAGCTGGAAAGCTTTGTTATTATAAACTCATTATTGACTACCATCATTGCCAACTCTGAAGTAACTGCTAATTCAATACTATAACAGCTGTCAGGGTATTGACCTTATTTTTCATATAAAATGTAAACTTTTCAGGTAATACTTCTCGGCAGGTATACTTTCTTTCTGTATCCACCTAGAGTACCATTTTATTTCTTAGTTTGTATTAATTCTATTTATTTTTCATGAATAAGCCCTTTCAATAAATCATCATTCACCCACGGTTGGGAATTTTTATGTCACTAAGTTGTTACACTGCTTACAGTGGGCATTTACACGACACAGCAAATCTTCTGTCATCAAGTTAACTCTCTTTTCAAAAGGTTTAGCGATATTGAACCGGTTTGATATCATTGGATGAAAATGGTGTTTTCACAAGTGTTAGAAACTTAGTGACATAAAAATTCCCTGAGCAAACTCATACCCCTACGGATATATCGGTTGGATTGTATCGCTGTGCCTGTAGAACAAAAATAATGAGCTCGTCTCAACCGAGGAATTGTCGTACCTCAACCAACAGTTGTAGCCGATGTGGAAAGCATCGATTATGTAGTGACCTCGTAGTTCGCTTCTTTGCCGGCCAATAGCTTGTGCTGCTTTTCTTCTAGAGACGGTGTTTTCATCATAACCAAGTTCGAATCAATTTTCAAGTCGAATTCAAATTCTTGCAACCATCGTGGCTGTTATATAAAAACTTCAGATGCAATATGACGATAACGGGAGATTCGCAGAGTATTAATTGCTTTCACCTGCCCTTTAGTTTTTGGCGATATTATCCCTTCTAATCTGTTTTTCGAGACGAATAACTCAAGTGCGTCCCTGACAGTCTTAACTTTCTAAATGTTGAGAGGCAGCGTGAGAAAAGGCTGGATATTCTCAGTAATGTGCACGATGTATAATCAACTTCAATTGCACCTCAAAGATGTCGCTCATCGGTGTACTGGCAAAGTTGGTCCTTCTATTTAAATATCCATAATTTTTTTATCCCCAAAACCTTCCACTCATCAATTGAATCACTGCCTGTAGCAGAGTCAACAATATAACATTTGAACAAATCCATCAACTCCAACATTTCATCATTGAGATTGTTAAAAGAAAACCTAGAAACTGTTCCGCATTTTGCTATCTACCCTCTATCCAGTCTGTCTGCTTGCTATGCAACATTTGACGGGGCCAAGGGAAAAAACGTTTATGTCCATTATTTGTCGGATTTGAGTCAATGAAGGCATTAAACCCACTTCAGACTAAACTTTAGATCGCATATTCGTTTCAGGGGAGGAAACGTTTAGATCACCTAAATAATTGTGATTGAAGTTTTCATGTCCATGGGAAGAAACGTTTAGGTCCGGTAGTGCCTGGGAAAGAAACCTCAATGTCCTCGATGCAAGTTTTCTTTCTAAATGGTATACAGAGTTGACACAATGATTGGCGTAATATGTTAATAAATAGTAGAGTAAAGCCGTCACATTTCATCATAGTAAACTGTGGAGAAGATGTACAGTTTCAAACATGGATACAGTACCTGTCCAGAATTTACAGAGAAACATGCCCCATGGGAACGAAAACTATCTAGAGTGGTCAAAATTGTCAAAGACCAACCGAAGTTCATATTGCACAAGAGCTCATATTTCGGTGCGTTCATCAAGTCTTCGATCCAAGAAAACGTAAAAAAAACTAAGAAAAAGAAAAGCGAAGACGTTGAGTCCTTTGTATTTTGGCCCAATTGTAATTAAGTTGGGTAAATACAGAGATATGCAACACCTAAAGCAGTTTTTACGAAAGGCAGATTCAAGAATTTTCTATTCCAACTTACAAGCAGGCATAGATGATCCAGATGGGAATGAGGATGAATAATGGATGACCCGCCAATAGACGCTGATGAACCAAACTACTAAGGAAGATACGTTGACGTCCAGATGATTTCTAGAAATTCCTTTTTGATAAACATTATTTCGTAAGAATTTCTATTTTTCTCATAACACTCTAAGCAATAAATAGTTTTTTAACATTGTTGTTATTTTTAACAAATTTTACAACCCAAATTTTACTATAGCTTTTGGATGTTGAACTTTATTTCTGTGTTTTTGCAAAATACATTNTTTTGGAGGTTGAACTTTATTTCTGTGTTTTTGCAAAATACATTCAAATGTACACGAACAATTTTTTCCCCTGGATCCGTCTATTTTTAAATCCACATCGGACCAAATTGACTAAGAAAACATTTACTCAAGATCCCCACTTCATAGCAGCTATCATCTTCACTGCAAAGTAACTTGTGTAACACTTCTTTTGGTCAATAAGAAAGTCATTTATAAAACACGGACTGAATTTTTTTTCATTTTTGTGGAACTGAAAGTTATATTAAGTGAAACTGTCTGTTATTCTATTCATAATTTATATGAAAATAATTCAATTCAGAATACATAGTAAATTAACGAAGATGTTTTTGAAAGCACAAAACAAATTTTGTTGTAGTAATAATATACAACTTAAACGGAAGCTTGCTCTGTCTGACTAAACAAATATAATTGTTTAGTTCAACCAAAAACTGAAGTTTGTAAAAAAAAACTAAGAAATGCGTATCTTCAACTCCTAGTTTATAATTTTTCACTCTGAGGCTTGTGGTGATTAGGTTGGGAATCTTATGAATAGTAATCAACCATGTGATATTGTGCAAAGTTGAATTCTTTTATGTAATCAAATTTACTGGGTTGAGAAGAGTATTTCAGATTTTCAATGTCTTTAAAATCAAACAAGTATAATTCTTGTCAAAAAGTATGATGTCTGAGTAATCGAGTATTTTTTTTAATAATTAACAGTTCAATTTGCCCATCTTAATATATAAGAATCAACAGTTTCATGTCTCAATTATGGTTGTTCAATAAATTATACAACGGTTTGAACTGCCGATTGTAAAAAATATATGGAATTGAAAATAGTTTGGAAAAGTGGCACTGAAGTTATAAAAAAAAATAAACATAAATTCACTTAAATTGCAGAAATATTCATCATTTTAAAACTGTTCAGACATGCAGATGACATTTCACTTGAAACAACCAAACTACCACCTCTAGGAAAAATGGTTTTCTGTTGAGTTACTTTCAAAGTAATTCACTACAAATATATTTCTTAACAAATGATAGAAAATGTGCCGGATAAACCATGAAGACTTTCAGTAGTTTGGAATTGATATATTTATTCAAAGTAATTGATTTCAAGTAGTTCATTTTGTGAATATTTTTTGTAGAAAGTTTGAATTTTCTCTTAATGAGTCTGCAAAAATCACCAACAGAGCGAGATTTTACAAACAAATTCATGATTGGACCCCCTCAGTGGTAGTCTTGTTACAATCTTCTGTTCAAGTAATTTAATGCTAAAGGGAAAGTGACGGCCTGTTCGCTATATATATGTGATATACGGATAAACCTACACACACGCACATATATATAAATCGATTGCAAAAATATGTCGGGGGAACCTCTAAGCCCCTTTTGATTATGCTACATGAGATCATACAAATCAAAGTTTCAATGTGGTCGTACAAAGTAAATTCAGAATACTTCACTATTTGACAAATGAAAAATATCGATTGGAGATTCAAGCGAGTTATATTGAGCATTTATTTTTTGTTGCCAAAAAAAATGAACTATACAAAATTACTGTGCAACTCCATTTCCAAATGTTTAGTAGTTTTTCAATATTTTGAACTATGCTGGGTTGATGGTGAGTCTATAGGAATGTTACCTATAAATATATTTTTTTATGACTATCGAACAAAGCATCAGAATTCGAAAAAGGGAACACTGGTGGTTTCTGAAACATCAGATCTTCATTGAAAATTCATATTTTTGTTATAGTAGAAGTATATAGGCAAGATTTATAATGAGAAGACAAGCTAGATAAATCCCCATCCAGTTCCTATACAAATGCAGTAATATTTCTAGTCAAAACCAACTTTGTCTTTCCACACCAAGACTCTCCTTCAGTCCCAATAATCTCATATGTCTATAAAAAGGGGACTTGAATTACAAAAAGCATTTAAACCTTTCAACAAGAACCTGCATCAACCCATATAACTCCTTTGAATCTCCCGAACAGAAAGAAAAAAAAACAACAAAAAACCTTCCGCTTCTTCTCTCTTCACTACTTCATTTCCTTCTTCTCTCTTCACTCCTTCATTTCGACTTTAATCTTCGCTTCATTCATCTGCCTGTGCTATCGAGGTTCTTCTTTCTTGTGTAGATCCGTGGGCGGGGTGATGCTCATCTTGAGGTGTGTCGGTGGAGGTCCCGGCCCAGGCCCTGTTCTGAATTGCATAAGGGCCGGATCTTTGGGCCTCAGCTGGGCCTGGTGGTGCTGCGCATTGTATGCATTGAAGAAGTTCGCTCTTTCCTCCTGCGCCCTCATAGCGTCGACGAGAGGGTTGTAACTGTATCTGTAGAAGGGATCCGCCTGCGGGGGCGCCCCCCAGTGGGTGGCAGGAGCGTGGTGGTAAGGGTGGGGAGGGAGGGCGTGCTGCAGCATTCTGGTACGGTCCAGCATCGACGGGTGGCCGGTAGGGGGCGGTGGCAACGTTCCAGGATGACGTAAGTATGGATGATACCTGGAAAAGGATTTGGATAAGAGATTTCAACCAATGACATTAATTGCAACTAGTTCCAATGCCCGTATTCCAATAGATAGATAGATAGATAGATAGCTTTTATTAGTTCTTTATAATAAAAAACCTTTCCAGGTGTAGAACATGTCAATTACAGTAAACATTACAGAAATAGTAAAAAAAAATCATGAGGCAATTACCACAGATTCATAAATATAGAGACCTGTTAGTGTTAATATTTTTTTTATCTACGAATATTTTTTTACAGCTTTCTCTCTGAGAAAGGTTGAATATTTTTCTGAGATACCGTTTTTACAATACGAATATTTTTTGTGAATGTGCAGACATTCCCCAGAATATAATGCCATATCTGATGTGACTCTGGAATATAACCATTATATGCTAATATCGCAGCCTCAGTGGATATATTTTGTGTTATTATTTTCAGGGCATAGCAGTACCTTGACATTTCTGTTGCCACTTTATCTATGTGGCTCTTTCAGTTCAGCTTTGAGTCAATTATAATTCCAAGGAAGGAAAGTTGGGTCACTGGTTCTAAAATATTTACACCATCACTGAAAGTATTATTTGTGCCGTTTTGGATAAAAGATATGATTGAAACTAAAACAGTTTTAATCTTCCTCTTTGAAGATGATCACTTGGTGATCGAAACACGTGTCGAGGTGTTAAAAATAACGATTTGGTGTTGGGAAAAAACTCCAGTAATAATCAATTTTATGAATTATGAAGAATTGAAAAAGTAGTAAATTGATTCCATTTATACAAGAACATGGGAAAATGTGAACAGTACTATCAAATACTTACATTAGAGAATGTTTGAACATATAACCACAAATATAAAAGTATTATTCAAATTGCAAATTACTTTCCGAGAAGATTTTCAAGAAGATGATATTTTGTTTCTTAACATCCATTCTTTGGGAGAATTACGACTTTCAAAGCGTACTTTCTTCCATAATCTAAATGTCAATGAAATAACTGACACTGACAATCTTGGTGCTTTGGGAAACCCAAAAAGTATAACAATATAACTTTGCAAAAGCTGTTGAATAAAACATGTTCTTTAGCCTGTTGTAGTGACATGTATAAATAGCAATGTAAGTTGAAAACCAAGTAATTTTCTGAACCAATGAAAGTACCAGTAACTATGAATTTCTGTTCCTTTAAAAAATTGCTGCGTGAATATGGAACTGGCAAGATGCTTTTGATGACTTTTCCTTGCTCTCTTTTATTCAATTACTGAATTAGTATATTCAATTCTCCCGACTTATATACAGGGTGTGGTCATGGTAATAAGAAGTTAGAGTTTTCAGGTGTCACATCTGAGATATCATTTCTATAAAACAAGAAATAAACGTTTCGTACCTTGCATCCGAACGCGACATAATATCCTCTTCTTTCACTCGTGGCTCCTCTTTCACTCTTATTTCAGACAAATCACCATTCCTCAAAGGCGACCTGTCTCTGATTATCGTAGGCTGTAGCTTGGCCGTTTCAGCCATCCTTTGCTCTTGCAGCAACCTCTCTCTTTCACGTTCTCTCTGCCTCTCTAGTTCTCGTCTCTCCATTTCCCTCTTTTCGCGTTCTTTTCTCTCTCGCTCACGCTGCTCCTGCTGCTGCTCAAAAAAAATCTTTTATAAAGGACCAATTAAAAAAATGTACAGTACGGTCAATGGATCCTTACACATGAGTGATCAATTTGTGCATCTGAAATAAGTCGACAAACTAATGAAAAGAAACCAACATAGCTACTGCCCTAAGCAATCTAAGCTTTTAATGAAGAATTGGATGCCTGTCATTCTGGAAATAAGGTAGAGCACCAATGCTTTATTCCAAATTCATAATCTAAGAGTGCAGCCTATCCATAATTTTACCCAACGTTGAACATCACCAATAGACTTATTACCAATTGCTGGCAAATGATAATTATAAGCCTTTGTCTACAACATGTTATGTATCTTCATTCAAACAAGAGATCTCTTTGATCAAAAGTAAACATAAACAGTTTTTTTTTGCGTTCCTCATGTAAAGAAGAAAACAAGAAGACTTATAAAAGTATTTGTTACTTCACATCAGATATTGATGACGAAAGTGTAAAGATTCATTGCCCCAAGTGAAAAATCAATCAAACCTGTTGTTCTATCCTCCTCTGCTTCTCTTCCCTCTCACGTCTTTCCCTCTCTTCCCTCTCACGCCTGAGCCTCTCTCTTTCTCTTTCCTCGCGTTCTCTAGCTTCTCTTTCTCTCTGTTCCAGTATAGGGTCCGGTTTTATGGCCCATGGGGCTGGCCCTGGTTGCGTCAAACCAGGCAAAGTTGGTGGCAGGGGATTCACAGTCGGAGGGAAGTTGGGTATGGTCCTTTGAAGGGATCGCCAAGGATCGTGGTGGAGTGGCCCCAATCCCAGGTGGCTCTCTCTGGCGGCCGCGGCCGCGAAGGGGGACATGGAGAAGGGGGAAGTACCTGATGCACCCAAGTGACTCCCTCCGTATCTTGTGAAAGGGGACATGGCCGAGTTGGCAGTGAAAGGAGATTTACCTGTAAGAATAACAATGGCAGGATTAGTACCAGTAACAGGAAAAATGATATGAAAGATACATATACGCAGTCTGTTAAAAAAATGAGGTGAATTTATATTTTACTCAAAAAATTTGATGTGAAAGCCAGAAATTGTTTTTCTACAATATCGGACGTTTTCTTCGTATGTACGTAGCCCACTAAATATAATAGGTTCGTTCCAACCTTGAGTCACAAACAGATTTCCAACTGTTTGTAAATCGTTGTCAACGCGCATGTCTGGTAAATATTGGTTTCTGATTAATTTGAAATTTCTGATTGGAACAGCTGATAGTTCAACTGAAGTTTGGCATGGAAGTTCAACATAACCTTGAAAAATAAATCTAATCATGTGTATTTCTGGAGAGTAAAAGGAGGTTGCAGTATTTTATATCTCTATTCTATATACTAATCAACATGGAACTGGGAGGTTACCGCAATAATTAATTTGTGTAATTAAAGATGTTCATATTTTAGGTTCTCTTAAAGAATTCCTAATTTTTCCTGCGCCATCAAATACATAATTTATTTTATAACAATTTTTGCAGGTTATGTTGTTTACAAGTTGCATGAAGATAAAACAGAAACAGTAATACGGAATACGCATGCGTCAGATTTGAACACGTCGGCGAATTAAGTTCGGCCCTGGAATGCCCCGGCCTGGTCAAGTTAGAATTAGGGAGGAGTTTGTATTTATTTCATTGGGCGAAATCGCACTGCCATCTGGCGGTATACGTTTTCGTAACTAAAGGCTAAAGACACTTAACTAGAAAAATTGATAGTTTATGAAAATTATGTACTTTTTTACCAAATTGTATCAGTAATCTCAAAAAAAAAAACTGGAGAAAAAGGTAATATTCTTGTGCATTGATTCACGTTATTGATTACTGACAAAAGCTGTCAGTACTGCCAAAAACTGTACTATAAATATCTTACCTAAATGCCCCGGAGGAGCACTAAACAGCGAACCCGGATGATGCGGTTGATCGTAACCAGGGGGTCGATGACCAGACAGGGACAAAGGGAATGGTGACAGATCGTGAGGAGGCCTCTGAGAGTGTACGCTTGGCGAAAATAAATGCGTAGGCGGCCTGAGCAAGTCTCCAGGCGGCTTGGCTGTCGTTATGCTGCCCTTGGCTTCTCCGCTCTTCTGCTGGTGATGGTAGATCTCCCATGCAACTCTCACGTGCATCGCATTCCATTTGCCGGATTTCTAGAATATAAACAGTAGATTCTATCAATGTCCAAATGAAATTATCTGAGATCTTCGAATATTAGTGAACCGACGTCCTATATAAGTATGGAAAGTGACATTAGAAAGCGATAGGTTGGCGAACGTTCAGCCAGGAGGCACTGAAAATTAAGACTGGGCATTTAATACGTACCATCAGTTTTGGCTTCGTTGGATCTGGGGGATTCACCGACTGTGGACAAAGAAAAGCGTTAGGGGTTGCGTTGCACATGCTACGGGCTATAGCTTACTGGGGCGCCAATGAAGTTTACATGCCACAAGCAAGTTATTTACGAATAAAATATGTCAACTCATGTAACATCCAAAATTAACTGTGTGCGGATTGGATTTTTCAACAGATCATTTTGGACGATCTCGAAATGCAAATGATTAAGTTTTTGCAGTCCGATGTGCAGCAGTTACCAAAAAATTTTTTGATCGAGTTGAGTAGCCATGATTTTCTCGATTCGCTTCAAATGAAGATATATTTTTGAACACATAAATACATGATTCATATATATACAACCCAATGACTGTCAGTCAGGCTTCAGAAAAAAACATTCGTGTGAGGCTGCCTTACAGTTCATAATAACAAATTGGGATAAAAAAAAAAATTGATAAAGATAATTACGTTGTTTGTACATTCTTGGATTTAAAGAGGGCATTCGAAACAAAAGACAGAGATATATTAATATAAAAGCTCAAATATTATGGTATTGGTGATGTAGTTTTGAAGTGGATGAAAAGTTACCTCAGTTCGGGAAGTCAGATAACAAAAATTAAAAGGTGCTACTCACAAGAGTAAGTAAATGATTTGGGAGTTCCACAAGGTAGTGTATTAGGACCTTTACTATGATACTAAACGATATCAATTACGTAGATGGTGATCATGTGATTAACTTATTTGCAGATGATACATTAATATATACCTGCGATAAAACCTTGCAAGTCGCTATTGAAAAGATGAATAATTCATTGAAAAATATTGATTTGTACCTTGGAATAAATAAATTGAAATGTAATATCACTAAAACTAAGGCGATGATCATTACAACAAAGTATAAACAAAATAAAATTGGAAGAAACACAGTCAAAATTAAAATTAACGTAACTGATGTATAAATAGTGAGTAAAATTAGGTATCTATGGTTCATTGTAGATAATATAATTTCATTGAATGCTGACTATGTAATAAGAAAAATATCAAAGAAACTGTATTTTTTTCTAGAGTGGCATCTGTATTATCAATGTATGCCAAAATAACGTGCTATAATTGCAGAATAAAACCTCATTATGATTTTTGCTGGACTCTCTTATATCTCTTGAATCAGAACATATTAAACCAATTACAAAAATTACAAAATCGTGGAATGCGAATAATACTACTTTGCAATAGAATGATACCTATACATAATACTACCATCTTTTCAAGAACTTCGACAACTTTCTCATCAGTAGAACCTTCACTAATAAGGAACAGGCGAAAACGGCCATCCTCGACTTCATCATCGAATAAATTTTGTCTGCACTGATTCAAATGGCGCTTATTTCAATTAAATTGAATAAGTATTCACTGTGATCTAGCAGTTTGAAGTGGAGTCGTAAAAAACGATGAAAACTTTTGAAAAAAGCTAATATTTATCAACGGTGACCAGAAAGAATAAAAAATAAAATATCCGTAGGAAAATTTATAAACAAATCGAAAACTTTTTTTGGAGAAATAAACTCTTACTATCAAAGATTCAAACATTTTTTGTCACAAATTTTTTCGACAATCTGACAAAAAGTATTGATTGTTATGTTTTTATGTGTATTTTTTATTTCTGTTGAAATCCTCAATATAAACAAATTTGTTTCTTGGGATGCATAAAGGAATAGTTCAAGTTGAATATAATATAATATCTTTATTCCACAATGAAGGTAATTTTTTTCGCATAATCAAAACTGCATCATATTCAATTATTTACGAGAGCACAAATCCTGTCTTAAAGTTTATTTGCTATTTTTGAAAAGACCTACACTGTGCATTTGAACCAACTTCTTGTATTCAATAGACATATTTTATTCGTAATAAAATGATGTGAGATGCATTAGTTTTGAAAATACCACAAGAAACTAACCTTAGGTTGGAACGTGGGCAAATGGTTGGGCGGTGCGAACGGTGTGGGACCTGTCGTCAACCCGGGATGCATAAGTCCAGGAGCATAACCGGGGTAAGCACCAGGAAGCCCCATATTCTGTCTGTAGAAGGACGATTCCACACTACCCAGTTTCGGGATATCTTTAAACTGTAAAAAAAAACATGTATCTAACTATTGCATGAAGTTTTGATCACTTGCAAAATTGCTGGCAATCTGCACGCATACTGACTTTGATTTGAAGGAATATCCCTCAATATTTCATAAACAACACGAATATTTTGGAAGAAAAAGACTTGTACCATTACTGTCGAAAGAATAATTCACAAATACTTACACTACTTTGACTTCTTCTTGCTAGACGTTCCATTGGAGACATCGACTATCAGAAACAAAAAGAGAATTTTAAATCATGAAAACATTGCTAGCAATTTTACAGGGATTCATTTCTCTAGTAAATTTGCTCTCAAAAACAAGGTTAATGAAAATACCTCCACCAAAAAATGAAAATAAAAATCACAAACATTTCATAAAGAAAGTTTGCAAAAAAGCCATTTGTAGTATATAGTGGACAAGTTTCAAATTTGTTTCATTCATATAGCTCTAGAAAGTTTTGAATAAAAACCAAAGCTGGTAATTTCATTAGTAACACTTTATATTTTAGAGTCAATTGAAAGTCATAAAATATAACTTTTCTCTTCACTAAAAAGGATAAAGTTGTAATAAAATAAGATAATGTATTCTGTCTCCAAGCATAATTTTTTCAACACGTTACTTCATTTGAAATAAATTATGCAGTGAAAACAATAACATTCTTTAACAAATGGCGTGGTACAAGGTTCTCAAGGTCTATTTCATTGAAAACCTGAACAGCACATTATTATCAAACTGTCATTCGATTCGTAACGGCATCCGAAACACATCTGAAAAAAGTATGAGTAAAAAAAAATGCTGTTTCAAATAGAATGTTACTTCGGCCATAATTTTCAGTTTTGGAGGCCAGATTTTCAATAATATGGACTTGATAAACATACTAAGAGGAGGGGTATCTCTTTCACAAGAGCACCATCTATCGGTTGACAAGAAAACTCAAATCCAGTCATTGTAGATGAACAGTAACCACACTCTATTGCGAAGTCAACCGTTAGCATCGACCGCTGACTTGAAAATCGCTTTCTCCTCAATGCAGCTTTCACTATAAACATAGGCAACTGCCACAAAATAATCCAATAACTTTCATACTCACCAATTGGGAAGGATATAGAGAAGAAGCTGCGGGAGGGGGAAGTAATGAAGTAGTATGTTGATGTACATGCGTGTGGTGATGTTGATGCTGATGCATTTCCGTTCTCAAGTACGGGGGTGGCGCTACTCCCATCGTACGATCCTGTGATGCTAAAAACCTGTTATCCAATTCCCTTCTGAGCATATCTGCTTGATCTGAAAATGAAAAGTGAGATAAGAATGATACAAAATTAAATAAACCTTGAAGAAAATCACTTGGTGATCGAAACACGTGTCCAGGTGTTAAAATAACGAATCGAATTGAGCAAAATCGAATTGAGCAAAACAATGCAATTTCTTCAAGAAAATTGTGACGAAGTAAACCTGATATGAAGTTACTCATTTATGAGAATCTGAGTGAATGAAGATAATAAAATCGAGGTTTCCCAGAGAGCAAAACTAGGATCAGTATGGACTTGACTATAATCATTCTGAAAATTAAAGATTTTTGTGTAGCCATACTGTTGAAGAAAAAACAAAGAGTGAAATTTAAAATTACAATGTGAAACATAAGTGAAAAATGGTTTTTGGAAATTAATTTAATTTTTCTTTACAAAAAAATTACCTTTAAAAATGAAACTTTCAGCCAGCGAATGATAAAATTGGGAATGCACCTATAACTGGTGTGGACTTTAACCAATCGTTCTAAAAATTAAACTGGCTTCATTTATCGTAAAGTTTGAAAAAAAAAGTCAAACTAGTGTGCTAAACTTTAAAAAAAATGCAACCCAAAATGTAAGTGTGGCTTAGTTTTTTTAAATTACATGTTTCATACATTCATGTACATTGAAAATATTAAAAAATGAGCCTTTTAGTCTATGTACAATAGTTGATGATGAAATATGAGTTCCACAGGGAACATAACTAGGACCGGTGTTTTGCTCTGTTTATATTACAAGCCCCGCATCGATATGTAACTTTGAAGAATATATAAACTGTATGCCAAAAAATCAGCAATCATCATAACCACATTTTTTTAATGTCAGCTACATTGTGTACTTACTCGTCGGATACTTGTTGGGCTGGAACAGACTCTCTGCCGAGAATGGGTTGGGATTCGCTTGAGGGGGTGCGGCGGCGGGGGCCGTCATCGGACTCGCCCTAGACACCGGAGGAGGTAGGGGGGCCGCGAACATCGGGTTCGCGGGGAAGGTTGAATGGAGGGGCGGCGTAGGGCGGGGAGGAGCGGGGCTGACTTGCGTGGGGGGTGGCGCCGGCTGCGCGCTGCCGCTCCACGGCTTGCTCAGACTACTTGCTAGACTAGAAGACACTGCGGTGGTTGGTGGGGGACAACTTAGCGTCGTTGTGACGCTACTTCGACTTAGACTACTGACGCAGCTAGAAAAACGGTAAAAAATTCTAATTAAAAGCAAGCAAGTTATTATTTTCCACAACTGATTTTTTTAACAAATGTAATTCATTCAATAATAATCAGTTTTCATTCAGAGAATGTAGTGGTACGGTACTGTATATCAATAATCAAACCCTATAAAACCAGTTAATAAACTCACCTGTAGCTCTCCCTGTTCTCCCTTACAGGACTCGGTCCTCTTGGCGATGGTGCCACTATCTGCTTCTCCCTCTCGAGGTGCGGCGCCTTGATGCCCACCGGAGGCGGCACCACCGCGATAGGCTGCGGTGGAGGCGGCGTCGCTTCAACCACCGCCGGAATTGTCGCCGCCGCCGCAACAACGTTCGAAACGTAGGGGGTCGTGGCATGCGTCTGCGGTACGGTAGCGGAGGCGGCTGCGTAAGGCGCGTACAGAGGCTGTGGCTGGTATGATGAGGGGTGATGGTACTGGCTGGGAGACGGCGCGACGGCAACATTGGCAGACGTCGCCACCGCCGGGCTGTCCGTCCTCATTGCGTGGCCGCCCGGCAGCGTCGTCGAATCGAGTGCCGGTGGGTGGTGGGCCATGGGGGCGGCGGCGGCTGGCTGGGGCGGCATGGCGACCGCAGTCGGGACGCTCGGCATCGCGACCATCGGAGTCTGAGGAACGCTCGCTATCGTCGACGGAGGAGGAGGAAGGAAAGTTTCTGGAAGAGAAGAGAGAAAGTGACCAGTAAGCAAACAAGTGTAATAGTGTGGTAATTTCAAAGAGTTATTGAATTATAGGGATCAGTTGTAATATGAGTTCTTGAATGAAGTTACTGAATTTGAATAAAAACCAACGTAGCTTGGCGTAATTATAAAAAGTCCCAAAAGTTATGAGTAAAATACCATATCAGGAAAATTAAATAAATAGTGTGGGCTGCAATTGTTTCTATTGTGATAGAACGTATCAATATGTTTCACGGGTAAAAATAGACATCTGCTCATAATTTTAACAAAGAAATGATTCGTGAATGAGATGTTCCATGTTCGAGTGATCAGTGGGCAAAAGAAAGTGACACTTGGTCTATTATATAGGACAAACTGGTACAACTTTTTTGCATGTTTCAAAGAACATGATAGCTTTTATATTAGTTTTTTTAGAGTTGCAGATCAATTGGAGGTAATATTTCATAACTTTTCCAAAGTTTTTTCAACTGATTCTGATACAATTAATAGAATATGGAACTATTTCGAAATGGCAAACCTCTTACCTTGGATGGGCTTGACGGCGGCCGCTGCAGTAGGGGTAGCGACTACGCTGGCGGATGTCGAAACCGCCGCCGAAGGTATGGCCTGCGGCGGGTGCTGAGGCGGTTGTTGGGCGGGAGCGGGCGACGGTACGGGGATATTCGGCGGCGTCGGCGCCGGCACGGGCGAACTACTCGTGCCATGATTCAGGCTCGGCAGGCTGGGCGGCAGGGCGCCGGGAAATTCGTGTTTCCTCGACGCCGGCGTCGAAGGAAATATCACCGAGCTGGCATCGGAACCCTGAAACAAAGATAATATATTGAGTACCTTCGAATAATAAAAAAATTGACTTATATTCAGTTCAAAGAAAAAACACTTCTTGTAACACAACAAAAAATATAGTTGATGGATATTGAAGGCCCTCAAATTTTAACATATCTAAATACGATAGTGACATGTGTTCGACCATATCGCAAATCATGAAACCCATCTAAATGTCGCAATCACCGCGCCCATAAACTCGTCATATATACATTTCAGGAGTGGGATTATGAACGATGTCACCATCTGTTAATCCAAAAACGTTATTCGACAACACGGTATCGATAAATCTCGCTTCGGATTCGAGTTATTAATTTTTATCCGTAACCCAATTAAAAAGCGATGTTTATCGGGTACATCCGGCCTCGCGTAATGCATCATGTAATTAATGTTTTAGCAGCTTTCGGAGAGAGTGAGTGGCAGTCCCAGCGAATCGATTAACCGACCGACGGAACGGCAGATAATTTCAATAATGTTATTTACGATTTAACGATATTATCGAAACGGGCAGTCACTTAATTACGACGAGAGCACGTAATGGGCGGGGAGATCGTACACATCAGTTATTAGAGCTGCTCTCGAGTTAGATTAACGCCCGATAATGCGAATAAACAAGTTGGCCGTGGATTGTAATTTGCGTTACGTTTACATGCCGCTTTCGGGAAATAATCTACAAACAATATCGTACGTGACACGCGGGTTACGTCGCACCAGTGTTGCCACAGGGAAAATATACTTCTTCGCACTATTTCATTCCCCTGAAATCTGATGCAATCAATAAAAACATTAAATCCCCAAAACCGTATATCACCTAACCGAGAAATATAAGTAATTAGACCCCAAAACACTTTAAGAAAAGTTTGTAGGCAGCAACTCCTCGCTTATACATCTTATACTCCGTTCCACAGACTTCCGCGCATTGCAATAGGAGTGATATTTACAGAACATATTTTACGTCATTAATTCATCATACTTTTCTTACAAATACCTTCGATGATCAGACGATCACACGATCATTTCAACATATTATGACACGAATCCATAAAGTTAATGCCCCGTATCATAATGAACATGTTAAATTCGTTGCGAGATGACACGGTTCTCTTCCGGAAGCATGTCAATTATTCCGTAACGTAACCTAACGAGATTATTAAACAACGCCGCATGCAACAGGTAGAGAGATACGCAATACATACATACTCGTCTCAACTTCTGAAGGAAATATACGCAATACATACATACTCGTCTCAACTTCTCACGATGCGTAACGTCACATACCATTGATTCGACGACTTAAGACCGGCTTGTAACGGTTAGGCGTGTCATAGTATCCGTCTCCACTAGGCACGTAACGTAACATGTTAGTCATTACGTAACATATTTTTGTTGAGGGGCGAACACATAAGTAACAAGTGACCCGTAACGTTACCGCGAGCATGTTAAGTTACGGCTAGAAGAGACATATTATTGTTGCCCTTTATCCGTAACCAATTCGCCACGCGTACCCGCAAGGAACGAATCCATTTGTAACACATAGTTCGTAACGTAACATTAACAACAAATGACCCGTAACGTTGCCGCGAACACGTTACGTTACGGTTAGTGGAGACTGATTCCTGTAGCATTTTATCTGTAACCAATTCGACACACGTACCCGTAGGGATCGAATCCATTTGTAACAAAGAGTCCGTAACGTAACCGCGAACAGTTTCCGGCCAATGAAGACAGAATACTGTTTAATTTCATCGTTACCACTTGACCCGCGTGCATGTAATCCGTAACATCACATCAAAGGATGTTAGGTATGGTAACTAGAAGGGTCGAGTATAAGTATCGGGTATCTTTGCTTCTTGTGAACGGCGTAAAATCTCGATCGGTTACATTACCTACCGATTACTTCACACAACCAAGATGTTTCTGGAAACGAAATGTATCATTTCGTGAATCCGTATATGTTGCCTTTGTAAATAAAACCACTATTTGCCGGTTTTTAGCTGTCGCTAGAGAGTATTGTTATGTTACGTAAGGCGACAAGCTTTATTGAGAATTTTACTATCACGCATCCAACTAGTATGTTAGTCAGGTAAATTTACCCATCAGTGTTTAATGCACATTTATAGAATACTGATAATAATTATTTGTAATTCAAATTGACCACTCACTCTTGAATGCACATTAGATTTCGCTGATACCATCTATTTTCAACGAATTTGCAATAAATTATATCTGATTTCGTTTTTTAATGCCATTACTCCATCTAGGATCAAGGCTAAGTTAAAGATTGAGTTTGGTTTCACTGATATTATGAAATATTTGTATTTGTGAAAAATCCGTTGCAAAAAAATTATAACGGTATATTTAGTATATTTCGCAGTGAAAAGTGATAATCTGCTACAGTGCTGCTGTCTCTAATCGCTAGTGAACACAACTTTGCGTACCCTGTGACACAAAATTGAATGAACTCAATAATGGCTCTATGACAATTTCAAAACATTCTAGGTGTGGTGATAACTCTTAAATATATTAATTATTAAAATTCATCTGTAATTAAAATGTCACAAAAGTTACAAATTGACAACGCCGCGCTGAACATAAACATCACGGTTTACGGCTTTAAGTTCAGCCAGCGGCAAGCAAGGTATTCAAGAGGGGAGAAATTGATGCTCATCGATATCTAAATGCTATTATGGTATGGCATGACATGACACGCATATGTTGTGATATAACAAATAATGGAGGGTGACACGTCATTACAGTGGTTCACACAATGAAAGCATTATAAAAGCTTGAAAGCTTCTTTTCTTTGGGTACAACAAATTGGCAACAGTTATGATGTCATTATTTGAATTATTTTACTAAGTAATAATATAAGTATCGGGTATCTTTAGTTTTTGTGAACGGCGTAAAACCTCGATCGGTTACATTACCTAACGATTACTTTACACAACCAAGATGTTTCTGGAAACGAAATGTGTCAAGTTATCGGAGTAATTTTCGAAATAAAATACATATCTTCTCACATAAAAAAACAAACGAAAATTCACAGTATACCTTCTTCAAAGTTATTCCGTTAAAACACCGACATCGCCAAGTAAATGACAGAATGAATACCAGAAATACACAAAGAAACAGACAGCAGGATCAGTGTTGGCGAAACAAATGAAGAGGAAAGAAGAAGAGAGGCCTAGTTATTGGCGGCCGCATACGCCAGTAACCAGGCTGGATGTCGACGGATTCGACGAAGTTGTCAGTTCGATAATGTGTTATTTTTATCCGAAGACCTCCCGAGAAGGACGCGATAGAAGTGAACAAAAAACGCAGGGTGGCAGCATTGTCTTGAGCAAGACTGCTGCGCCCCCGGACGAAGCTTCTGTTCACTATGGACAAAATTTGTCTGGCCAAATGCGCTCGAATGAGAAGCAACGGCTATAAAAATTAGAGAGAGAGAGAGAGGCCTTCGTTTTACTTCACACCGATTTCCAACATGCAAACATGAATCATCGCATCTACTTTGTTCAGCATTCAAAAAATATGGCCCCATCCTTCATCTAACCTTCCCAGCCATATCCCACTCAACGATTATCACGAATTTCACAGGAACTCCTCGCCAACTTGTTGAGTTATAGACTGCTTGTGGCTCGTTTCAACTTCGCGAAAAAACTCATCGGGTTAGTCCTTCAGTTACGTTCGAGATGTCTGTTGCGGGGGCGGCAATACCTATGCACTAATTACTAGGTATCGGCGCTCAGTGATTGTGTGGGGGCCGGCATATTCGAACGGAAACCCTTAGAACGAATGGAAGACGTCGGAGTTGCGCCGTGAAATTGCGTTTTAATGATTCATCAAGGTGCGGATGGCGCCGTATTAATTGCAAATTCAGATGCAAACGATTTAACAAGCTTCGTGATTGCATCCCTTAGGGATCAGGGTTCAGTTATTGGAATGAAACGCAGCGGAGTTCGCGAATTAAAACCATCTCACTCACTCCGTTTACTCACTACCCCCTTTCTCCATTATGTACGTTCTCGGATGGTTTTGTGATCGAAAGTTGAAAATGCGTGTCCTATTGCAACGGTACTGTGCACACATTGTAAATATTTATGTATAATTTATATATGATCACGGTAAACCATTTCCCAATCTCTTCAAAATACCACTTTTCTAAAAACTGTAACTTCCACTGTCTTCATCTTTTGTGAAGTATTCAAGGCATTTTGTAGAATTACTAGAGGCAATCAAAGTCACGGATCAAGATCAATTAATCAGTTTCGACGTTCCCTACGAAGAAGCACTTCAAATCTATCCCAAGCTATCCGAAGACGAGGACCTGGAAGATAAAACGAACTTTCTCTAGAAGTAATCTTGAACTTACTATATAGGATGCTGTGTACGGAACTGCTATTTCCCACTGAAGGACGTATTCTTTACGCAAGATGAGGGATTGCCAGTGGGATCGCCACTTTCACCAGTTATAGCCAACATATATATGGAACTTTGGCCATTGAAGAAGCCCACAAGAAGCCCAGGTCTGGTTGAGATACGTTGACGACACCTTCATAGTATGGAACTATGGGAATACAGAACTAGACACCTTTCTGAAGCACATCAACAGCGTAAAACCATCCATAACCTTCAAATGGAGAAGGAAATCCACAACGAATTGTCATTTTTAGGATTACTGGTGAAGATGACCAATACTAAGTGGGAAACTATACCGAAAACTTACTCACACAGGACAGTATCTGAACCTCGAATACAATCACCAGAAATCTACCAAAAAAATTATCATCAAGACTCTAGTAAATCGTACTTTCGGGCTCTGTAATACGAAGGAAGGTCTTGAGAAGGAACTAGGCATCATCAAAAAAGATCTTCAACGGAATGGTTACTCCAAAGTGATGGTGGAACATATTTTGGCTAGAAAACAGCAAGAGCCTCGCAAGAAAGAGAAGCCGTCACAACCAGTGCTATGTCAGAGGATTGTCGGAAAGGATAAGAGAATTGGGTCTAAGTTCAACATCAGAAGCTGCTTCAGATCCGGAAACACCATCCGTAGCAGCCTCACGAAAACCAGGCCACCAAACACGGACTGCGATTCCA